GTTCCAGCCTCCGCTGAAACACAAAAGATTGGCACATCACCTGCCACAGAATCATGCATCGGACCTCTGGTTGTCAACAGATACAACTTGTCCCGCTGAATCAGAGGAATCCTGATCTTGCCATCCTCCGAAGCCACATAGGATTTGACCGTGTTCTTCGACCCCCGTCCAACAATGTAATACTTGGATCCCAGAAAATCATCCAGACTCACAAGTGGTACAGGAAGGACAGGACAAACTCGAACATTCTCCAATACTATATTGTCCGACTCACCATCTGCACCGACAATTTGCAAATTTAGCTTGCCATACTTGGTACAATTAATCTTTCCTCCTGCCGTCATGACAAAGAAATCGTCTCCCGATTGTACGTCTGAGAGGAGGGATTCGTCCCCAACCATGGTAACATTTGCACCCGAATCAAGCAAAAAATTGACAACCCTTCCGTCACCGTCTCCCACCATACTCTGCATTGCCATTCCTTGAATATCAGTCATCGACATCGTTGAATCAATGCCAAACTGAAACGCAAAGAAGGATCGCCATTCCGCCTGACGGCGACCTGCCTGAGCATTGCTTTCTGAAACATTTTGCTGTACCGTCCTCTCAAAAGGATTGTCCGACACCGGACTACGGCCACGTCCCCGATGGTTAGGCTCAAACGTCTCCTGCCATGGTCCAACCGGCTGCTCACCGTCTGCACCTGACCTCCTTCCCCCCTGGATTTCCCTGGCCAAGCGCAGTACAGCCTCGCCGAGAGCCTGAGGAGAAAATTCATGCACATTGTTTCGCCGCTCATGATATCCTCCCGAACGATCACTCTGAGAAACCATCAGACTCGCCTCTGCGTGGATGTAGTTATGCGTCGTCCAATGCTCCCTCTACTCGTCCGCGCATCCCTCTACCAGCCGGACGATCATACGGCTTCCCCCGCTGCTGATGATGACCTCGAAATCCTGAGCCTCTTCCCCGAAAATTATTCCCTTGAAAACCACCGGCTCTTTCTTGGTGATTTCGAAAATCATTCGATCCAGCACCAGCGGAGCCTCCACGACCGTAGCCGCCACGAGACCCATCAACATGGTAGGCGCCCCTGCGCCGCATTCCCTGACCCGGATGCTCACCTCGGCCTCGCGTACTCTCCCTCGCGTCCAACGTGCTTCCATCCTCCTGACTGCCAGATGCATTATCCACAGGCGGCGACTCATTGCTGCCTCTCGAGTCTCCCTTTTCCTTACCACCCTGTCCTCCACTTTCAGACGCCTTGTCTGCATTCGGTTGACTAACCGTAGCTTGCACCTCCGAGGCTGCCACATTAACTGACGCAGTACCCGACTGTGTTTTCTCACCCCCAGCAGTAAAAAATACCTGTTCATCATGCAAATTCACAGCCCAAGAGTCACTCCTCCTCCCAAGTCAATTCGGTTGACAACTTGGACCGCTTATTCAAGCGCGCGACATCTCGAATATCAATACAATCTGAAACATAACATTGCTTGATCAGCTCCTCCACCAAAATCATTTCCAAGGCTTTCACTGATTCCTCTCCCGCTACATCTTCCAACTTGTTAAGCAGGATCTTCATCTGGACCATAACGCTGTGGAAGGTAGATATGTCAGGCAATTTCGACTTTGCCAGCGTCACGGAGTGGCCCTTGAGATTCCCACTGCGCTTTCTGACTTCCCATATCATATACGCCAGAGCTTTGATCGGAGCCAACTTGGACTTGAATCCTCCTGACATAGCCCATGGAACAGGAAATAATGGCTTCAGATAGGATCGAAAGTATTGGCCAAGCTCCAGGAGAAAATATTCAACGTCTTCATATAACGCGTTAATCATCGCGGCATCCATCTCCTTGCCATCAGAATCCCTTCGGCTTACCCCCTTCTTTTTCTTCTTGCCAGAAGCACTCACTGGATTGCCGGAATCACCTTCATCAACAGGACTACCATACTGATCCGACACCGTCTTGGACAAATTTTGCAACTGCTCCACATAATCTCGAATCTGCCCGCTCTTCCTCCAACAAAATTTGGCATTCAGGAAAAGCAAAACGACCTGCCTTTTCCATTCCTCCGTCAACTCGCCATCCACATTCACACTCTTGTTCTTTTCCCATACAGTATGAAACTCACCACCAAAATTACCGAGTTGATCGAGTGGAAACTCTCGTATCAGCGGGAACAAACACATGCCCAATCCTGTCCGATATCGATTCATTGCATTCTGAATCGGAAGCAAAAGTTCATCCAATTCCTCCTGTGACGTCACAGATCCTTTGAGGAATGTGTCCATCTGTAACTCA